AGTTCGACAAGCTTGGCACAACGCGACGCTGAGGTCTCTCAGCTTCGTGAGGCTCTTCAAATCGCACAAGCTGACCACGCCACCGTCGTGCGTCACTGCGAGGAGGTGCGCGCCGAATTGCTTGGCGCTGTTGAGCAGCAACAACAAGAGTCGGATAAAGTGCTGCGACAGAAGGAGAAAGAGATAGACTCCCTGAAGGAGGCATTAGCTGTTCTTCAAAAGGAGACCGATAAGAGCTCTAAAAAGATTGTGAGTGTTTGAGGAAACATAGACCATGGTTCTCCTAGAACTGGGTACATTCCATTATCATGCACAAATTTTCGTATCTTTTTTGTAAAAGCAAAAGGTTTTACGAATGCCTATTTTAAGTAGAATGAAAGATGAAAAGTTAAAAAAGGGTTTAGGTGATGTAGTAGATTGAATCAAAAATACTAATGCAATAGTGCTCTTTTTACTTGGATAGAAGTTTAGTTTTTTGGGGAGGACAGTCGATACTTTGTCAGGAAAAAGTGCTAGTGACTTACAGATGACCAAGTTGACGATAACTTCTAATGGCACTCGAGATACTCATTCGTGCAGATAATATCGGCAGTGATAAGCTTCCCACAAAGGTAGCCGAAAAGGCTGAGATACTTCAAAGCAAGCCAACTATTTTTAGCGGAAGAATCGGTTCGCCTAATCACAAATCGAAGGGTTTGCATTCGCTGAAATCTGTTGCTCAAATGCTGCCTACGTTAGCTATGGGAAAAGTAGAGACGGGTAGTCATTGCGACTATCATGAACTAAAAGTACAATCCAAAAGAGGCAGGCATATGTAGGGTCTTGCGTGCACACCACTCACGCATGTGCACATGTGTGTGCTTCCAATGGATGCGGTTGAAGTAAATGGAACTCTTTCCCAAACCACCTCCGCATTTAATTTTTCACAGGAGAAGAAACTAACAGACAACGTAGCACATGTGGAGAAACTTAAGGATCAACTGAAGGAAGTGGTTCAGGAGAAGGTAAGCTTGACAAATTCGACTTAAACAACTATATTTACTGGATGTC